GGCTGTGTACAGGACAGGGAGAGAGGGAGGGGGCTGTGTACAGGACAGGGAGAGAGGGAGGGGGCTGTGTACAGGACAGGGAGAGAGGGAGGGGGCTGTGTACAGGACAGGGAGAGAGGGAGGGGGCTGTGTACAGGACAGGGAGAGAGGGAGGGGGCTGTGTACAGGACAGGGAGAGAGGGAGGGGGCTGTGTACAGGACAGGGAGAGAGGGAGGGGGCTGTGTACAGGACAGGGAGAGAGGGAGGGGGCTGTGTACAGGACAGGGAGAGAGGGAGGGGGCTGTGTACAGGACAGGGAGAGAGGGAGGGGGCTGTGTACAGGACAGGGAGAGAGGGAGGGGGCTGTGTACAGGACAGGGAGAGAGGGAGGGGGCTGTGTACAGGACAGGGAGAGAGGGAGGGGGCTGTGTACAGGACAGGGAGAGAGGGAGGGGGCTGTGTACAGGACAGGGAGAGAGGGAGGGGGCTGTGTACAGGACAGGGAGAGAGGGAGGGGGCTGTGTACAGGACAGGGAGAGAGGGAGGGGGCTGTGTACAGGACAGGGAGAGAGGGAGGGGGCTGTGTACAGGACAGGGAGAGAGGGAGGGGGCTGTGTACAGGACAGGGAGAGAGGGAGGGGGCTGTGTACAGGACAGGGAGAGAGGGAGGGGGCTGTGTACAGGACAGGGAGAGAGGGAGGGGGCTGTGTACAGGACAGGGAGAGAGGGAGGGGGCTGTGTACAGGACAGGGAGAGAGGGAGGGGGCTGTGTACAGGACAGGGAGAGAGGGAGGGGGCTGTGTACAGGACAGGGAGAGAGGGAGGGGGCTGTGTACAGGACAGGGAGAGAGGGAGGGGGCTGTGTACAGGACAGGGAGAGAGGGAGGGGGCTGTGTACAGGACAGGGAGAGAGGGAGGGGGCTGTGTACAGGACAGGGAGAGAGGGAGGGGGCTGTGTACAGGACAGGGAGAGAGGGAGGGGGCTGTGTACAGGACAGGGAGAGAGGGAGGGGGCTGTGTACAGGACAGGGAGAGAGGGAGGGGGCTGTGTACAGGACAGGGAGAGAGGGAGGGGGCTGTGTACAGGACAGGGAGAGAGGGAGGGGGCTGTGTACAGGACAGGGAGAGAGGGAGGGGGCTGTGTACAGGACAGGGAGAGAGGGAGGGGGCTGTGTACAGGACAGGGAGAGAGGGAGGGGGCTGTGTACAGGACAGGGAGAGAGGGAGGGGGCTGTGTACAGGACAGGGAGAGAGGGAGGGGGCTGTGTACAGGACAGGGAGAGAGGGAGGGGGCTGTGTACAGGACAGGGAGAGAGGGAGGGGGCTGTGTACAGGACAGGGAGAGAGGGAGGGGGCTGTGTACAGGACAGGGAGAGAGGGAGGGGGCTGTGTACAGGACAGGGAGAGAGGGAGGGGGCTGTGTACAGGAAAGGGGAGAGAGGGAGGGGGACTGTGTACAGGAAAGGGGAGAGAGGGAGGGGCCTGTGTACAGGAAAGGGGAGAGAGGGAGGGGACTGTGTACAGGAAAGGGAAGAGAGGGAGGGGCCTGTGTACAGGAAATGGAAGAGAGGGAGGGGCCTGTGTCCTGGTCTGTCCTATGGGTGATCCATTCAGTAATTAGAAACATTCTCTTTTTCAGATCAAGACTGGTGCCCCCTGCAGGTCAGAGAGATTGTCCAAATACAACCAGCTGATGAGGTAAGGAGGGGGGACAAATGGTGCCACATGTTGTGATACAATGATGAGATACCTCCAGCCAGACTCTTGCTGTGACAATCTGAACATTTGTGATTGATCACCATGGGCACTTCATTTATAATACTTATATGACTTTGCCGCCCGGCCTATCGCTGTGTGGGCACCCGCTGGCACTGTGTGGTAATGTGTTTCTACTTTGGTCTCCGCAGGATTGAGGAGGAGTTGGGAGACAAAGCCAAGTTTGCCGGAAAGAACTTCCGGAACCCCAAAGGAAAGTAAACAGAGACCTTCCCTCCTCCAGAATCCCTTGCAACACCGTGCCACCATCCCAGAATCCTCTCCATACGGGACACCTGGGGGTCATCTCCAAGTCCCACATCCACTGCTGTGTCATAAAATGGAACCCGTCACGGATGGCCCAAAAAAAAATGCATATACGCCAGCGGAATGCTGATATTTCAGTTGTGTAGATCAGCTGGTGATCTCAATCACTCGTGGCTTCTTATATCTCCAGGCCAAGAGGTCTCCCGGTCAGCCCAACTGCCTCCGGTGTCACCCTTCCCCAAAGGGCTCTTCATGACGCCCAATAAAGAAGGGATATAAGAAGCCATTGGGTGATTGTACTCACCCACCACCTACATGTGACTTGACCCAATATTTCCTGGCTGGACCCTGCCCACTTGGTCAGTCTTCTCCGATTGTAAATATATCTTCACGTTGTGGACAAGAGCGCCTCTCCTCATCTCTGAGCATTAAAACGTAGAAGTCTCCAGTCCGCCGCCGGCTCCAGATGCATTTTAGGGCACAGCGGTGAGTTTCGGAATCCAATTCCAATAAAGATGATAAGGAAGATAAAAGAGCTTCTGAGTTTTATTTCCACATCACGCACAATGGTCCACTGAACCCCTTGAGATGGCTTGCCAACATACATTAGCTGCACGGGGGCCGTTCTTATGGCCGGGCGAAGAGGAAGGCAGAAGAGGCGACCACCTTGGGCACTTTAGCAGGGAAGGGGGCGCAAGAAGGGCGGGGCATGCAACTTGCTCTGCTGGAGTAGATCACAGCTCATGGGGGGGAGGCACATTGGGCGCTAATGGACCTCGTCCCTCCAATGAGCAACGTGGGATTGTCAGCCGGAAAACACCGGAATAGTTTAAGAAACCTTCCACATCGTTTCTGCAGAATATCATCCAGCAGAGGTGAGGAGGAGGTTGTGTGGGGGGCGACATCCAGAGACATGAGACCCTCCCGGATCACAACTCACATCTTTGTATCTTCTGCAGATTAGAGAACCAACATTGACCAGAAAACAGAGGTGAAGCTATGGCAGAGAGAGTCCATAGAGTCTGGTGGTGGGAAGGATAGAGCACACATACTAAACACAGTCAGAGCACTAACATATAATCAGAGCACACACTGACAGGATACACAGTCAGAGTCCACGCCCAGCACAGAGACTACACACAGGCCCAGTACACACCATCAACAGTCATACAATGAGGGGGCTGAAGCCCATGCAATAAGACCAAAGCCAGATCACACACAGTCAGAGCACCGACAGTCCACTGTATACTGGGGCCACTAGATGTCTCCTCTCCTCCACTAGACACTGGGGCCACTAGATGTCTCCTCTCCTCCACTAGACACTGGGGCCACTAGAGGTCTCCTCCACTAGACACTGGGGCCACTAGAGGTCTCCTCCACTAGACACTGGGGCCACTAGAGGTCTCCTCCACTAGACACTGGGGCCACTAGAGGTCTCCTCCACTAGACACTGGGGCCACTAGAGGTCTCCTCCACTAGACACTGGGGCCACTAGAGGTCTCCTCCACTAGACACTGGGGCCACTAGAGGTCTCCTCCACTAGACACTGGGGCCACTAGAGGTCTCCTCCACTAGACACCGGGGCCACTAGATGTCTCCTCCACTAGACACCGGGGCCACTAGAGGTCTCCTCCACTAGACACTGGGGCCACTAGAGGTCTCCTCCACTAGACACTGGGGCCACTAGAGGTCTCCTCCACTAGACACTGCGGCCACTAGACGTCTCCTCCACTAGACACTGGGGCCACTAGAGGTCTCCTCTCCTCTACTAGACACCGGGGCCACTAGAGGTCTCCTCTACTAGACACCGGGGCCACTAGATGTCTCCTCCACTAGACACCGGGGCCACTAGATGTCTCCTCCACTAGACACTGGGGCCACTAGATGTCTCCTCCACTAGACACCGGGGCCACTAGATGTCTTCTCCATTATATACTGGGGGTACCAGAAGTCTACTCTTCTAGATACTGGGGTCACCAGATAACGCCTTTCCTCCATCTACACCTGCAGACTCCTAGAAATGGATGAAGAACTGGCTCTTATCCTGCAAGGCTCTAATAGAATCTGTGGTCAATAACGATCCATCATTATCAAGGATCTTCATTGCACCAGCTTGTGATGGAAGACTCAGACACTGGCTTTCCTTTATCTCACTTCCTGCCATGTGGGTGACACCGTCCAGTTCTGAGATTGTCATCTTTAACGTTCCGGCCAAATCAACAGACAATATCAATGAAAGGTTTGATCACTTTAATGGAGGCGGTAGCTTCAAACACAGAGAGCGGGTCATAAGCCAGAGCAGACCAAACAAAATAAAGTCACAACAGCCCCCGGCTATACAGAATGTAGTGACCCCCCAACCCCCTCAGCAGGACAAGGTGGGGCATTTCCATCTAGCCGCCCTCCTATGAGCGGTGCAACCAATGAACATTCATAGAAGTCTAGAATAAAAAGCAGAAGACATCCAAATCTGCTAATGGGACACAATCCAGTCACAGGTACCAGGTTGGCTTAGAATCAGAATGGATGAACACAATGGGCGCTGGGCCAATAAAAACAAGGACGGCGACTTTGTAAAGTACCATCTAGGGGTAAGCTTCCTTCACCATTTAAAAAAACATATGCGTTTGAAGACCGGGCTAAAATATATAAAAACAAGCAGATAAAATAAGTTATCAGTTCAGACGCGGGAGGGGTTCATCAGAAATTCCTCAGACCATCGTAAAACAAGAGAGTCTATAAAACGGGGCGACGCCAGCAGAGAAGTAGGTGCGGGTATATGGGTGCCAAGTCTGCGGAGAGGAACCCGGGTGAGGACCGGTTCCGTGACGGTTGAAGTCGTTCCATGGAGCAGACTTGTTGCCCGCTGATGCTGCTAAAAAGGTCTATGGACATAAAAATGACGGCTGTACGGAGAAGGGCGAGGGGAAACCAGAAAAGAAATCCACGAGTATTAAAACCACGACCAGGTAAAAACATTCGTAGCTCAGGAATCCTCAGACTGGTTTAAGAGCTGCCGGGCTCCGCATCGTCCTGTTTCAAACGCTTCTTGGCCCGGATTTCATTCATAGCTTCCTCGATGGAGCGCGTGTCTCGCTTGTTAGCGACGGGAACTGAGGGAGGAAACAGGATTGGAATGATGAAGAACCCGATGACACCCAGCGAAGACAGATTAGTAACCTCGCACCTTTAGGACATGGCCCACCCCGATCAATACCCTTCTCACAGCTGTATAACATTGCCCACCCCGATCAATACCCTTCTCACAGCTGTACAACATGGCCCACCCCGATCAATACCCTTCTCACAGCTGTACAACATGGCCCACCCCGATCAATACCCTTCTCACAGCTGTACAACATGGCCCACCCCGATCAATCCCCTTCTCACAGCTGTACAACATGGCCCACCCCGATCAATACCCTTCTCACAGCTGTATAACATGGCCCCCGCTGATCAATACCCTTCTCACAGCTGTATAACATGGCCCCCGCTGATCAATACCCTTCTCACAGCTGTACAACATGGCCCACCCCGATATTCTTTGTGCACCTCTAAGACATTCAACCCCCGCCCGCCCCTCCCCGATCATTACTTCCTCTCACCTACAAGACATGGCCATTCCCAATCAATACCTTCCCGGTACCAATATGACACACCCTCTCTTGATCAATACTGTTCTCATGCTTGCGGGACTTTGTGCTCCCCAATGAACACCCCTATGACACGGCTCTCCCCGATTAATATTAGTCTCATGCCTGTATGACTTGGCACTCCGTGATTGGTGCCCTTCTTGTACCTGTGACCTGGCCATACTTTACATCAAGACCAATGACCGTGCTTGCTGTGCCACATTGCTCCTCCCACCACCAGGACCTGAAGGGGGCTCATCCATGGAGAGTCCTTACCGCAGCCGTAGGTCTTGTTGGCTTGCAGAGTGTGGGCGGCATCCTTGGCGGCCACCTTGCCGATCAGGTGACTGTATTTGTCCTTGTAGTCCGTGTTGGGGTTGACGCGGGACGGACCCTTCAAGGCGTCGGCCTCTTCCTCCTTTAGGGCCTGTTCCTGCCGGGACAAGACAACGCCGTCAGGGACTGGGAGTTATATACTGAGAAGGACGAGCGAGTATCAGAGGACTACAAGCACCCATCAGACAAAATGTACAGAACCAATCAGAGAGGAAGGGGGGCGGGTCTACACACATTGGTACTAGAGTGGTTATAAGTGACTGACTTTACCCATTCAGGCCCCCCCTGAGCAATAGGGCCCCCCTTCCTTCTCCGCTCCCTACTCCCTAAGCTCTGCCCATTTATGGTCCATGGACCTCACACAGCAAGAACCTTCCCCCCTCCCTCAGGTCAGTGAGCACTGAGATTGGAGCACGGCATTCTGGGACAAAAAGGTGTGAAGGTCATGAGCTCCACCACCATAGCTGGTATACTTTGGGGGCTCCTATGGGCAGAGCGGTGGAATAGCACAAGGAAGGAAAGGGGGGGGGGGGAGGCAAGAAAACCCCGCCCTTTGC